CTACATGCTCCCATTCCCCACCTTGCTACAATGGTGTCAGCTGTCTGTGCCCAGAAGATGGTGCTAAGGTTGGATGAATAAAACAGTAACAGGCGCTTCAAGGATACAGAAGAAGGTACATAGATAAATATCCCCATTTTGCCTAGACGGAAACAAGAAAAACATTCTCTTTTCTCTTCTTTAAAACCAATTATTGAGTCACACGTGGCAACACTATGTATTGCCAAAAGTGGCCAGTTTGTGGTAGTAGGTTTTATTCAGAAAATCAGTGGGTGATGAAAATTTAGAAGATGCACTCGTCATTTGTAAAACTGTAGATGAAAGTTTAAAAGATGATGTTATACCACTTTTTCTTCACTGCCCTCATCAGTGACTCCATCCCACCCTCCTGCTGTTCTCATAATTGATGTAGAAATAATTTCATGAGCCAAACAGGATGGTTTTATAGGTGTGTGTTTGGCATTAACTTTATTTCCTATTCACATACCAGATATTACTGCCTGCTCTTATGAAATACTTTATTCCACCATAAATTTATGTTTTAATGATCACCACTTTTTTTTGGAATACATTAATCTGTCTAAAAATTGGTGACTAAATCATCTGTCATTCTGCTGTGAAACCCTTTAATGTTTTCTTTGGGAAATAAATTAGAATGCCACATTGGTTTCCAAGCAGACATAAGCTGACGATGACTTTTTTGTACAACAGTTACTGATGAAAAGCTCACTGAGGTATTTGGATTTCTTCAGGGCTGTAAATCCAGGCATGTTACTAGGTTATCTACTGGAAATTGGGGTAATGCAGGAGATGGGAAAGCATGGTGTTAAATCAACTGGTGACCCCAAATAATTTTCCATGGTGTTCATCAGACATGCACACTCTATATTACTGTCATCATTCCTAGCCTTTCCACTATGCTGTCTCAAGTTTGCACAAATTGTAAATGCTTTTAAATGATTAACTGGTGTGACATAATCGAATTACTTAGGGTTTTATTTACTGTGCTCCAAGTAATTCAATTATGACCTCGCATGGTGTTCAACAGACAATAATGAAGTTGCTACAAATTCAACTTTGCACTGGACAACTCCATTTGAGGATACCACCACCTCCAAATTAACAATTACAGAAACTGGTCTCAGTATCTTGCTCCAACAACAAGCATCACCCACCACAATAAAAACAGCAAGTAGAATCTTTTCACTTCTTTTGTGTTTCTGGTCTCAGCAAACTGCACTACAATCTACCAAACTGCCCAAGCCAGAAACCTCAAGCTCAGGCTGAATTCGCCTGAGGACATGAGGTGCAGGAGCAAACACTGCGAAGTCCTAAGGTACTCTTAATACCCTAATTTCTTTGAATCTATGCACTGTCTCATACTCACACCCATCACCTAATTCAGGAATCTCTCCAGGATCCTGCACCAGCCTCTTAGATCCCTCACTTTCCTCAGCCTGGCCAGAGTAACTGTTATAAAATATAAACTGGGACACAAAAATCCTCTGCTAACAAACCTTTCATTCAGTACCTATTGATCCCTGGGTAAAACTGAAATTGGTTGATGCTGTATTAAAAATCCTCATGATGTGGTCCTTGTTTATTTTTTCTTACTGTTCCTTTTATTCACTCCATGCTCCAGAAACAAGACTAACTTGCAGTTCCCTGACTACACCATTCTACCCTTCTCCCTCTTACCTGCAGTCTCTTATATATTTTCCACTTTGCTTAGATGCTTCCAATCCAGTCCTGCAAATGCTCCGGACTTCTCGGTTTTGTCCTTGGGACTTCAGCTTTGGACTCATTTTCTCCAAGAATCTTCCCTTTAAGGGCTGGTTAGGTTTCTCTGCAAGTGACTCCCCATGCCCCTATCCTTTTCCTCTGCTAACACCCTTCATTCATTATCTTAAGAGTCACGCCCATTGAAAAGCGTAAGAACCTTAAGGGTAAGGACAGCGATGAATTGAGGGTCAGCACTACTCTGCTGTGGTTCCGTGGAGGCTGACTTACTTGGTGGTCTCTCTACCTTTTCCAATACACACTCTTTCAGTTCTGTGTATTTTCACTGAAGGCTCACCAGAAAACTAACATGGCAACGTCATAGCAGACATAAGGCACACAAATCTAAGATTTCATGACCACAAAGGACAATGCATTGTCCTTTAGCCATAGAGACACTGTCCCTGCAAACTGCAATCAAAAGGCATTTTGTTGCGAGGGAAAATAATCATCTGGCTTGTATAGAGTTATATGCATTGTTAGAGATTCTTTAGCATATTACGTTTGGAGATTTTTCAGATTGTGTGCTAACACAGACCTGGAACGTTCTGTGGATGAAGGAAAACTAAGCAGTAATGGCTACTGTTTCCATTAAAAGTCAGAACTTGGGCACGATGAACATTTTCCCCTTAAGGCTCTGAGAGAGCATCTTTGTTGACTGCAGTATATCCCAAGAATTGACTCTGGCCCAGTCAAATGTAGACTGCTTTGTGTAGTGACCTGTGTATTAGAACACATGTATACTTTGCCAGAATTACATCCAATAACTTTTAAAGAATATACAAAACCATGCAGAGATGTTAAATAAGGGTTATCAGTCTGGGTGCAGTGGCTCACACCTGTAATCTCAGCACTTTGGGAGGCTGAGGCAGGAGGACTGCTTGAGTCCAGGAGTTCGAGGTTATAGTGAGCTATGATGGCGCCACTGCACTCTAGCCTGGGCAACAAAGCAAGACCCTGGATCAAAAAATAAATGGTTATCTTTTGCTAACTAAATAAAATCTGACACTTTAAAACTTTTGTGTGTGTGTTTGTTTCAGGGACTCAGAATCATGAACCGCACAGTTTGCAGACAGATCTGATTTTTACATGTTTTTGTGTGTGTGGCTTTAAGTAATTTCAGTCAATTAAGCCTACTAATATTGCATACTTTTTCTTTTATGAAAGGGAAAAAGGGAGTATAAACCAGGCAATCACTGATTCATTGTAAACATTTTTTATCCAGACGATCATTCTCAGGTCACATATAACCTTTTTTCCATGACATCTTTACTTATGGCCATCCTTGCTCTTTATTTTCATAAGTTATTAGGCCACCAAATATTCCAGCTAAGATATAAAAATTTACACAGGTCCTGTGTATGTTTTCTTCTCTCCTTTTCCCTTTCAAATATAGCTCGACCATTTTTTTCTTTTTTTGAGACAATCTTGCTCTGTCTCCCAGGCTACAGTGCAGCAGTGTGACCACAGCTAGCTGCAGCCTCCACCTCCCAGGCTCATGCGCTCCTCCTGTCTTGGCACCATGAGTAGCTAGGACTACAGGCACACACTATCACATCTGAATATTAAAAAAGAGAGGAGAGAGAGAGAGAGAGAGAGAGAGAGAGAGAGGTCTCTCTATGTTGCCCAGGCTGGTCTTAAACTCCTGAACTCATGTGGTCCTCCCACTGGCCTCCCAAAGTGCTGGGATTATAGGAACAAGCCATCACACATGGCTCTCTACCACTTTAAATCTCTTCAATTCTAGATCATGCTCATGTAAGTGTTTTCCTAAAGTTTATACATTGTAATGGATGAATCAACAACACAAAAATAAATGTGTATCATGTTGGATTAATCTAAGAACTAAGTATTTTTTATCAGTAAAGAAGGAAAATGCTAGAAGTGCTGGGGAAGCAGGTGCAATTTCAGAGAGGAGGACCTTTACAGCCATGAAGGTGTTCTTTAAGAACTGAAGAAACATAGGGCATAGGTGATACAAAGATCGGGGTGAAACCCTCTTCAAGTAGAAGGAATGGTGAGTGCAAAGGGCCTGCAGCAGGTGGGTGGGTGCAGGCATGTGCCAAACACGGAGGTGGCTGTTTGGCAATGAGTTGTGAGACAGAGGAAGGGAGAGCTCACCAGGGATGGTGCCTGTGGGCCTTACAGGCCATTGTGAAGGTCACTGGTGTTTGTGCCAAGTGAGCTGGAAAGCCAGCTGCTGGAGGTTTCCAAGAAGAGGAGAGATATCCTCTGATGCACAGCACGGCTCTGGCTAGTGTGATGAGATATGGTGAAAGGGTGTGAGGGCCAGAGAAGGGAGACTAAGCCAGAGGCTGACGTACTTATCTAGGTGAGAAAGGATGCCGGTTCCAGCTGGGGTAGTAGTCGTGGGAGAGGTGAGAAGAGGCCGGTGCAGAAGCACAAGCTCAGATTTAGACATGGTGATTTGAGAGGTCCTTTCTTCCAAGCAGGTATATAAATAGGCAAACAAGATACAATTGTTTGGGGAGCTGGGATATGATATATATAATTTAGTCTTTCTCACAAATTCAATTTCAATGGCAACTGGATATAAGAGAAAACAAAGGAAGTTTACATATTAAATTTATTGTAAACATTTTCCATTGTTTTCTTGTAAGCCAGTATTGATTTTTGGATGGTGTAAGGCTTACTAGAATGTTGCCACATAACTCCACTTAAATATCATTAATTTGGAGGCTAACATTTTTAAAGGCTGTGAATGAGCAGAGGTTGATCTGAAACTTGCGTTTGGTTTACACATGAACAACAGATTCACAAATAAAGAAATACTATACACCAGGCAATAAAGGAGCTATAAAATCTGTTATAGAAAACTACCTTTTTTTCCTCTTGGAAGATACTTATAAACTATGTCCCATATTCACCTAGAGGATACTTGCTTTAAATATTCTAATAGGTCTAAATATTTTAATTACTTTATCATTAGTGAATTGTGGCTACATTATGCATTATACTTATTTGAATGTAGCTATCTGTGTGTAAAAAATTATGCAGCTGACAACTTTTCAGGAAAGCAGCCCACTTTTAGCTGTAATTAGTGATGTTTTACTGGGTTACATCTCATTTTGCTTTAACTGAAAATTATGCAACTTAGGCATAAAAAAGAAAAGTTATGAAGCCCAGAAACCTAAATACAAATTTCACATGATTTAGAACCAAGCTAAATAAACACACAAAAACTCTACAACATGGGAGGGTGAAGGAAATGAAAACAATTGCAAAGGTATTTATTGAGAAATAGTAAAGATATACATATTTTTACAAGCTTTTAATATTAATTTACATTTCTTTAAATTACGTAGGCCCCGATAATCTATACTTTACTAATACATAACAGAAACCCTTGACATTGTGAGATGTCCATAACGCTACCGTAGTTGGGAGTCAAAATGCAACTTTGGCTCATGATGCTTAAGTTTGTTTTCAAAAGAAATACTAAATGCCATATTCACTGAGAATGTAGGCTTGTCATAAACAAATGTGCTTTAAAAAAACAACTTCATACAGGAGCATGCTGTTGACACTATTCTGATTCTTAGCTCATCACAGACTAAGGAGAAAACATTTTTAGAGACAGTTATTACCTACTTGTTGTGTGCAAACCGTATGATTCTAAAATATGTTTTTGCCTCTGAATTTGATTTACAAAATTTTGCAGGGGCATAGTGTTCTAATTGTATGCTATAATACTGTAGCCAGGCCACCTATTTTGTTACTGAAATTACGTGGTCTTGATATTTTTAAGGTGCAACACAAGATGGTTATCTTTTGTAGTAATATACCAAGCTGTATACATAAGAGCCGAAAACCCACTTTAGTTACAGAACATTTTTCAAACTGGTTTACAATAAGGCACAATAGTCCATATGTCAATAGGAGGTGGGAATTGCCAAGGGGTTCGTTTTGTGTTTGTTAGTTCAGTTTTCATTTTTCAGATTAGAAAGGAGGAGGATTTTCTGTTCCTAAGGTGGGAAGGGAAGAGTTCTATTTTGTGCATGCTCAACGTCCCATGGCCAAGCTGTGATGCTGGCTTGTGGGCCTGCACCATTGTTGTGCCAGACAAGCTGTTCTCCGTCAACCTAGCATTTAGGTTTTATGCCGGCAGCCTCTTCTGAACACAGAATCAGAAAAAGAGATGTGTGTGAGAAACTGCACGGGGTGATGCAACCAGCCAGCTTCTCTTTGCCCTTCCAAGGGGTGTTTCTTTCTGCACCTGCAGACTTAGCAGCATAAAAAGCCTTGCTTGTTTGATATGAAAAGACTTACAAATTTATACCTAATGTCACAATTCTATCATTTAAAGAAACCAGCTATACAGTAAAGATAATTTGTTTTTATTCACAGTAATAAATACTTAAGGTTTTAGTGCACAACATAATTAAGTACTGATAATCAAGGCAACACTTAAATTTTTTTAACCGCTATTTTTAATCTAAGGGCCAACAGAAGTATAAGATTTACTATCATTATTTTTATATTATTAAACGTATTCCAACTTTAATTTGCCTGGAATAGTACTTGGGGCAGAGGCAGCCAAAAGCTACAAAATTTAAAGGGTAAGTTTAAGGTTTAGATGATGAAATCACAATCTTGTACAAAATTCGGATCTCAATATCTTTCTGCCCAGTATAAACATGGCCTTAGCATTCAGTAAAGAAATACAGGTTTGTAGCCCAAAGAAATGAAATCTATTTCCACAGTGAATGTTGTAATCTGTGAGCAAAATGTAGACTTTATTGAAGCCACAGAGGCCTCAGTTGATCAACTCATGAACCAGCCTCTGGCTAGGGGCACTGACTAGTAGCCTGACTCTAGCATCCACATTATGACATTTTAAACACAGAACTGCAGGTGCAGACACCATAAAAATACTCTAGTTCTTAAAGCCTTAAATTTCCACAAGGGAAATCATGTCACAGGAAGCAAGAGGAGAACTGTATCGTGTTCCCAACATGGGCTACACACAGGGAAAAAAAACCATGCAAACACAACGATGACGGGCTCTTCTTGTAATGAATGCCATCCATTGCGCAGTAACAATACAGGCAGAAACTAACATATGCAAGTCTGTCATGAGGAGAACCTACATTGATGTATTCAGATGGAGAACCAGGTACTATTTTACTATTGTCATTTCAGTAACGCTGCCAAGATCCAACTCACTTGCTGATTTAATTTATGATGATATTCTAGGTAACATTTTCATAAACTCATTGCTTTCATCAGACGCCATCTGGGAGATCTGCCTTCCATTACTGATGATATTATCATTTTTGCAATGGCATTGGGAATAAACACACTTAGCTTTATTTTAAGCCATGCCCACTCAATGTGAATTTTACACCATGTCCATGGCATATTCTAAAAAAGTTAATGTGATAATTGCTCATGATTTGCATGATAATGTCCTCCTCTATGCAACTTACACATATCAAAAGTCTCAACCTCAAAACCGTGCAGGTTGTCATGAATATGGCTCTTAGTTTTCTCCAGTGAAACTGTAGAAGGGGTACTTGAGACTTCTACATACATTTCACTTTCTAAGTGAAGGTCCCACAGTCTTTCCCAAACTTTCTGCTTATGGTTGGATGCGCAAATAGTTGCCTCATACAATTATTGGAATTATTAAGAACCCAAATACAACACAAGCTTTCCTTTATTGTTGTTGTTTTCTTATTGCAACAAATACTCAGTTTCTTGCTGATGCGGTAATTAAGCTTTGAGAGCTTGACTTTTAAATTTGGTCATGTTAAGAATCATCACAAAGGATTTTTTTTTTCATTATCTACAGAGATTTTAACCAAAGTTACATTGTAACACACAAATGCTGTCTTGTCTTTAAGGCACAACACATCAGTATGAACATTCTGTTTGCCAAACTTAAAAAAGAGACAATATTATATTCCCATTTCCCCTCCCACTCCCCTCCCCGACAAATGAAAGAAAAATTGCATCCACTTTGAAAGTCAGCTGCTAATAAAGTCACAGTAAATTATTTTCATCAATAATTTACACAAATTACAGGTCTAAATAGGACTGTCCTTATACAGTCTGAGTGCATTCCAATTCAGATTTTCTGGGCTAGGTAGGCTAAAGTCAGATTCAAACCTCAGGGCTGAGAAGATCTCCCAATTTGAGGAATGTTGTTGACCACCTTGTCAGACGGAGCATGTGTGTTGCTGCTTTGCCAGGGTAAGAGTTCTTTGCTAAAGCTGCTCATTCCAGTTTGGACTCATTTGGTGTGTACCAGCAACCTCCACAGATTTTTTAAAAACCCATTAAAGTGTTGTAAATATAAGACCATAGAGTTTCTTTTCTGTAGCACTAAAGTTTAACTCCATTCAGCAATCTGAATTCTTCATTCTGGAATTTTTATTCCAAATATGATTTCATCCATTAAGACAATTTATATGTGTAGAGCCAGAGGCATTGAATCACACATAAAAATTCAGTGTACTTGAAATATAAAAAATGGATCTCCGGCTAGAGAACACAGTTACAAATACTCTAATTCCAGTGCTTGGTGGAGAGCCAGGAGGTCTGAGTGACTGGATATCCTCCAGAAGGGCATGTTGTGCTGCATGGTTAGGAGAAGGAGGGGTGGGAGAGAGAAGGGGAAGGAATGAGGCATGGAGAGAGATCACACCATTGTCTCAATTAAGCAGCAGCACACACAGGGCTGTGTGGCCCACCCACGTTCAGGGGAGGGAGTCTAAAGGCGGGATGATCATACGTGAAGGCTTGGCAGCACCAATATGGCATTGTCAAAGTAACAGAGAAATAGATCTGAACCGGATTTTAATGAGAATAATAGCAAATATTAACACTGCTTAGATAGTTTAACATTTATTCTGGAAGTATCACTACCAACATCGACATCTGGGAAAGCAAGTGGGTATCACAATCCTACCTGGCTGATGGAAAGCAAGTTTGAATCAGTGCATCTCTCCTAGAGGCCTCTCTCTCAGTCAAAAATAAAATAAAACAAAATGATAAGCTTCTTAATTTTGTTAATCTAGGAAGAAAAGAGGGTGAATCCCTTTCTGTATAAAAATAATTTGAAGCAGTACTATATAAAGTAGAAAAAATGTGGGGATTATAACTTTCTTACTTGTCTGGGACAACCGATAACTTAAGCCAGTCGAGTCGACCTGGTTTATTTCACTGGCGTAAAATTGACAGAAAGTATCTAGCATACATTTTCAATGGGGAAGATATCATCCCCAAGGGGACAAAAATGAGTTCTTGTGGGGCAGAAAATCTTAGACATTACAATGGTTTGTGCCCTCTAAAGATATACTATAATAGTATACAGTACACATGTGGCATTAAAATGTAATGAAAGGGAGTAATTAGAAAAAAATTGTCTAAAGAATCCCCACTGGCGATGATAATGAACAAGAAAAAACAGTGCACTACAGGAACTGACAAAACAAAAGTACGATTTGTAAGTTTGGGCTGATGACAACTTCTAGAATATGCACATATAAAATAATCATGTATATAAGGGAAATGAGTATACAGATATAAAACATGCAAATGATATTTTATGTAAGAACTAAGTAGCATAATAATCCTTAATGCTATATAATTCCTTGCTGCACACTACGGTAACCACCAGCCACATGTGGCTATGGAGCACTTGAAATGTGGTTAGTCCAGTTTAAAATACATAACGCATTTCAAAGACTTAGAACAAAACAAACAAACAAAGAGAAGGTAAACATGACTTCAACAATTTTTACATTAATTAGATATCAAGACAATTATTTTGGATATACTGGGTTGACATGTTATTAAAATTAATTCTACCTGTTTCTCTTTAATTTTTTAAAATGTGGCTTCTAGAAAATTTCAAACTACATATACAGCTTGTATTAATATTATATGTTTCTGCAGAAGAGCACAGACATTCCTATTCCTAAACTTTGATATTTCTTCTTAAATTTCTCAAACAAAGTATGTCTAGGTCAAATTAAGGCACAGAAATTCACATAGAAGTAACTTTTTTTCATTCAGCTCAGATCTATTTGTAACAACAAAACAATACTTAACATTTCTGCACATGCGATTACTGCTACATCCAAAGAAATGCATGCATTCTGGGTACTAGAGAAACCAACCACCTCTGCTTTAAAATAGAATAATAAGCCTTCACCATCACCAAAACTGTACGTACATCAACAACCATTTGGAAATAGCATTCTATCTGATATTCTTTTCCATTCAGGGTCATGCCTTTCCCTCCTGAAGTTTTAGGTATAAAGAAGATGGTATAACAACTGGGGAAACCAAATCTAAACATTAATGCTGTGGAAAACAGGTCGACTGGGTTAAGTTTTAATTGTCAAAAGCATACAGTGTTACTGGTTTGGAAAATTGAATTATATTAGTCCTTACCTACATATACGTGAATTTAATTTGTATAGGCTAAAAGACACGTACATTGAGCAGGAGTGGGGCTGTATTACTAATCACTGGCTGCTCTTTGTTGTGTATAACTATGGTGTCAATAAGAAACATCACAACATGGACTCACGACATTGACAAACTCCAGAAGATATTTCAGTTGAGTGTGACTGGAAGCATTTCAAGTAGTAGTCAGCAATGAAAGCTGTATTTCTTGAGGCTGCAGCCCTGACCTCATACAGGACGTGCTTGGGGCCAGTGTGCTGTCTTGGGTCATTGACACTGCTAATGAAGGCTGAGGTGTTCTGTGGGAGGCAGAGCCTGTACCTACTCTCTTAAATGTAATCGAAAAGCATGGAGATTTTCAAGTATGGCTGCCAATACTGTCACCAAACCTTCTAAAGTGGAAGTGCTTTCCTTTTCTTCATTTTGCTTGATTTAAATTGACCAGAAAAATACATCAATTCCTTTCTCTTTCTCTTATAGCCATAAACTTCTCTACAAAACTGTTTGACTGTTTTTTGAAAACAGGTAAACACTCCAGCACATGCAAGCGGCGAAGCCTTTATTAGATGATGATTTAAAATCTCCTTAGGGTGATACAGAAAACATTCTTTCTATGTAAAACAGTATAAGCTGGTATGTCATTGTTTAGAAATACTAATTCATCATTTGGCAACTTTGTTTTGTAAATTCTATCACTTTTATCTTGGCTAGATGACATTTTTCTATCATTCAGTGAAGGCAGCAGTAGACCTTAGGGTGGAGTTGACCAACAGTCTGGTGTTGGGGGCCAATCCTGATATCACTCTTCTTTTGATGTTGAACCAACCATTTAACGGTTTTTAATTGCCTTGGTTTCTTCTTCAGAAATATGGGACAGATGAAAAGGCTTATTAAAATACTGAGGGCCTATGGGATCTTCTGAATGTGTTCAAAGCCAGCTGCTTGGCTTCAATCAAGTACCACTGGCTCACTAGAACAGATGAAACTCTTCCAGGAGATGTGAAGCACATTATGGCTAAGACAAGTTGGTACAAAAGGATCTGAGCAATACATCCCATTTCAGTAGCACTTATTAAAATCTCTTGCAGTAGTTTTTCTTCAGCTATTAAATCTGCCCTCAGCATTCCTTATCATAGAGCATGCCTACTTCCAGGCACTCACGAGGACCATATGGCATGTAGGTCTCATGAACTACTCACATGACTTTTGTATGGAGCTCCTTAATCTTTATCTTGCTATATTTCATGTGCTTAACAATGGTTATTCTCCCCCCATCTTTCTTGCAGATCCCCTGGCTCCTTTATATCTGTGCACATGGTATGTGTTTTAATATATACAGATGCATCTATATAAGCATGTATATATATGCCCACACAAATATATATATTACTATATATATTTACTATGTGTACATACATTCAAACATATAAATAAATATAACTAACTTTCCCTGCATTTCCTATCAAATTTCAGGCAAAAAATGCTAAACTCCAAATGGTTTATTTGAATGTAAGTATTGACCCTCTCATGCTCTTATTGCTTTGCATCTATAAATTTAAATCATTTGTCAAGCTGCCATTGGGCCAAACTACAGAAATGCAAACAAAAAGGCTTGCATTAGAAGTATCACACCAACATTGTTTGAGACAGGTTACCTTTTTTGCTGCCTGTTCTTCTTCTACACCATCCCCAATTACAACATACACTACTTTTCTGCCAAACCTTTGCATTATTCGTTCAAAGCAACTTTCTTTTCCTGGAAGATAAACGAGATAAAGTTCAGAGTGAAGTTACCTGGTTAGCGGCATGCTCCTCATCTCGGCCATCTCCAATCACAACATAAGTTATGTTAGTGCCAAATCTGGACACTATACGCTCAAAACAGCTTTCCTTGCCTGAAAAACAATGCACTGCTTATTCTTCCAGCCACTGCATTCATTAACCTAAAGATTCATAAAGTGTTAAGTTAATGCCTCTTGAACATCACTTAAACTGGCTCACAACCTCTGGGTTTATGCAATCAACACATATTTGAATAACGTTAAGGCATTACTTAGGACAGATGATTAAACCAATGTGTTTCACACTCCAAAAATATCAGTAGGGTTAAGCATTTGACCTAGAGAAAATATTAGTGTGTTTTTCTCCACCACCAGAGTATTGGGGAAACTTTACAGGCAACTATAAGTTTTAACAACCTTTGTTTGTTTAATTCTGTAAATCAATTTTCAGTAGTATAGACAAGTCAGCTAAATGTGTTCGAGAGAAAAACTGAAGGTTTACTGCTAAGAAAAGAGGAAATACTAAGAAGTGAATTTACCTTGATAAACAACTCCTTTCTTCAAGTGGATGACAGTTAGCCTGCTCAAATAACTTCTACTAAGGGTGCAGTCTGACTGGGCCACAGTACTGACAACACTGGTGTCCTCTGATTGCACTACGGGAACATCACCATGGAATTTCTACATATTCTTTGTTTTTAAAACATTGGTATTATTCTCTAAATTTCACTCCAGAATGTTCATGCAGCCATGGCTACTTCTGCCTTTTTTCTTAATCTGATGGTTCAGAACTCCAAAAAACACTAGCTTACAGGAAAAAATAAAAATGATTTTTTTTTTCAGATTAAAGAATATAAGGAACTATTTGGCCAACAGAAAGAATACTGTCTTTACTAAAATAAATGTTTATTCTGCTATAAAATCATCAAAAAGCAAAATTTTCTTCTATTAGTCCTGCTGACATAAATACACACATTTAGATTAAAAATGTATGGTACTGATATCCAGGCTCTGAACTGTAGTGCTTATGACAATGTGAAATTTACTCTACGGAAGCTTGGCTCTCCTTAACTGTACTCTTGAAACAGCTGCAACTGGAGGCTCCTTTTGCCAGGGCCAACATCAGACCTCCTCAAAGCCTAGGGCAGGTTATTTTTGGTGGGGGATTTTAGGATTTTGAACTTCTCTTGTCAATGTGCCAGAGCCTAAGTTTGTTGACCTTCAAGGCATATTATACAACCCATTTATTTTCCCAAGTATTTCCTTGACAGACAATGGAATACATCAGTTTTCTTTGAAGTCTTTCAATACAGCAGAAGTTGATGAAGTTTTACTTTTGAATGTTCATTAGAAGTTGGAGTCTGCGAGAAATGCACTTAAAAATCAGAGATGGCTCCACAAACAGATATTATCTAAATAAACAAGGTTGTGGCTCTTTGATTGCTACTGCACATTTTTGGAAATGTAGATTTCCAGTCACTCATGTGTTACGAATATTCCTATTATGTTTTCTGATTCATAAAATTCTTTTAAATTTTTTCTGTAATTAAAGGCACTAGTTCAATCCATCAAAGAATCCCCTGCAAAGCCAAAATAGTATTTTTATCTTGGATCTAGATTACTGCATATGCAAGGATGCAACATTATATTCTATACTAATTAAACTATTAAACACTATGGCTAGAGATATTACATATTATTTAGATAACATGTGCTGTAATATTCTGTGAAATACAAGAATGAAATATCTATACTCAGATACTGAGTTCTTAATGTCACTAGGCAACAGTTCTCAAAATATTCATACATGTACAATGAGTTGCAGGGACTTTGTAATTTGAACTTTACCCAAATTTGTTTCATATACTAAGTGAAACTGCTGAAAAAGGGAACCATGCAGAGACACACAGATGTGGACACATTCCATACAGAGTTCAAAATAATTTCCTTACCTATTTTAGTTGCACTGTAAATATTCTCAATGGGGAAAGCACCTCCTAAACTATAGAGTAGAACCTTCGCAAGTGCTGGGATCAGCTGGGTTGTCGTTACCAAGACATTTACGCAATTACTCCTAAAATAGGGAGGAAATATACACATTTGTTTTCTAATACTAAATAACTTCTAATAGATTTGAAATTGTCACTGTGGTCTCTAAATTCCTTAATTAATGGTCCCTTTCAATATTCATTAGCTATTGCCTATCAGCAGACAGACACTCCTCAAATAATGGCAGATTATTAAGAAGAATACACAAACCCATGACTATACTGTGATGCTTAAAGTTCTACAACATATTTTGTCAAAACAATATGCTATTAAAAGTCATACGTAGGTAAGTGTTACAGAATGAAAACATGGTAGAATGAAATAAAGCTCAGGCTTTTTAAGTTTAGAGATGTGGTTTTGATATGAACTTTCATAACTTGCACTGTGTGATATTCAGAGTTACATTTCTTTTTAAATTATAAACACTGTATATACTTGTAACAGAAAAATTTGTGAAAGACAAATATAAAGAAGAAAACAAAAAGCATTAATTATTATGCAACCATCCAGAGATAACTGCTCTCTCCATTTCATGCATTTACTTTCAGTGTTTCTGTTCACATATAGATTTTGTTTTCCCATTGGGAACATTCTATATATTCAATTTTGTATTCTACTTTATGTATTTATATCATGAGCCTATTTGTTTATATCTATTAACTATAACTTCCCCTCTCCCAACAAAACAATGTATAAAAACTACTGTACCATGTAGATGCACCAGCATTTCTTAAAGTTAAATTCAGTTGCTTAAGTGGCTTTTGATTTCTAAATATTATAAGTAATGCTACCTAAATATATTCTTACATCTTTGATTATCCTTAGACTATATTCGTAGAATAATTAGGGTCAGAGGGTAAGTTAATTTTGCTAGGGGTTCTAATACATAATTCAACAAAGTATCTGTTTTTCTGACATTCCAGGCATTTTGTGAAAACTATTGGGTTGGTGCAAAAGCAATTTTGTTTTTTGCCATTAAAAGTAATGGCAAAACTGCAACTGTATCAATATGGTAATACATGTGGATAACTCAGCAAATTCCATAACAACTATTCAATGCATGTTGATTTTTCTCCTCCCTTCCTTGTTATATCTTTATTTATTTCTGGAATATCACATATTCCTTTAGTTGCCTTAAAGCCATCTGTTTAATAATTAATCTGTATATATTATATAGTGTATATAATCTAATAATGTAATAATCTTTTTTAACTTATAGAGAAGACATCTTTTAGAAATAATGAAAGTTATCAACCTCCTTCTCAGAGAAATGCACACTCCACAACATTTTACACATCATGTCAGTGCTCAGGGGTCCTCACACTCCAGCGTCCTTGACATTTGGTCTCTCTTGTCAACAATTACAGGGGACATGAGATAGCAAGTCCATTTCAAATGGCCTTAACTGTTAGACATTTCTTCCTTATATAGAGCCAGAATCTCCCTTGCAGGATTCCTACTCATTGGTCCCAGTTCTTTCCTTTCCAGACACAGGGAGAAATCTAATTGATTTTCAGCCTAATACCTGAAACAGTTGAAATTGGTAATCTTGTTCCACACATGACTCTTCTGACTAAGCTCTCTGGCTCCTCCTTCCATCTGTTTCTTTTATGTGGTTCCCACAGTCCAAACCCCTGTGACTACCATACTTGACACAGGCTGCTTCAACCCTGTCACAGTCCCCACTGGAATACTGTGCCTAGAACCGACAAACTAAGCTGCCATGGCTTCCCCAATCAGACACACGAAGCTACTTCCCCTCCACTCTCCATTTGGACTTTCTGCTATCCATGCAGTTCTGCCCGTGCCACGGGTCAGAAGCTGTGCAGGATGTGACAACTATTCATTTACTTCCATGTTCTTAATATTAACTTTTTTTTTCTGCCCTGTCAGGCTTTTCTCCATTCTGATTCAATTAGTCCATATAAATCTTTCTCTGAACGCTGTATTCCCGATACATTTATTAAGCATGCTTTTTTTCTTCTTTTTTTAAAACTAGCAATTTGTCATCTTATTCATTAATCTTTTCTTTTGTAACTTCTATTTTAAGTTCAGGGGTACAAGGGCAGGTTGGTTACATAGGTTAACTTGTGTCATGGGGACTTGTTGTACAGATTATTTCATCATCCAGGTATTAAGCCTAATATCCATTTTTTTTCCTGATCCTCTCCCTCCTTCCATTTTCCACCCTCTGAAAGGCCCCTGTGTGTGTTGTTCCCCTCTATGTGTCCACATGTTCTCATCATTTAGCTCTCACTTATAAGTGAGAACATGCGGCATTTGGTGGGAGTGTGAATTAGTTCAGCCATTGTGGAAGGCAATGTGGCGATTCCTCAAAGACCTAAAGACAAAACTACTATTTAACCCAGCAATCCCAGTACTGGGTATATACCCAAAGGAATATAAATCATTTTATTATAAAGACACATGCACACACATGTTCACCGCAGCACTATTCACAATAGCAAAGACATGGAATCAACCTAAATGCCCATCAATGATAGCCTGGATAAAGGAAATGTGGTACATATACACCACGGAATACTATGCAGCCATAAAGAAGAATGAGATCATGTCCTTTGCCAGGACATGGATGGAGCTGGAGGCCATTATCCTTAACAAACTAACACAGGAACAGAAAAACACATACTGCATGTTCTCATTAATCTTTTCTTTTTTTTGAGTTAGAGTCTTGTTCTGTCTCCAGGCTGGAGTACAGTGGCATGATCTTGGCTTACCGCAACCTCCGCCTCCCAGGTTCAAGCGAGTCTCCTGCCTCAGCCTCCTGAGCAGCTGGCACTACAGGTGTGCACCACCATGCCGAGCTATTTTTTTTTTTTTTTTTTAGTAGAGACAGGGTTTCACCGTGTTGGCTAGGATGATCTCGATCTCCTGACCTCGTGATCTGCCCGGCCTCCCAAAGTGCACACAGGTGTAAGCCACTGTGCCTGGCCCATTAATCTTTTCTTAATGGAAATGCTGACAGATTCTTTTTTTAGCTTTTATTTTAGGTTCAGGGATACAGGTGCATGTTTGCTATATAGGTAAACTTACCTCACGGGGGTTTGCTATATAGATTATTTCATCACTCAGGTACTAAGTCTAGTACCTAACAGTTACTCTTTCTGATCCTCTCCCTCCTCCTACTCTTCACCTTCAAGTAGGCCCCAGTGTCTGTTGTTTCCCTATATGTGTCCATGAGTTCTCATCATTTAGCTCCCACTTATTAAGCATGCTTTTATTTATTCACCTAACTCAGATAGAAAATCACGGAAGCAGACAGTACAGAGATTCAACTCTACCTTACCAGCTATCATGTTCCAGACTTACATCACTTTATGAATTAGCATATATGGCACCTGGTTGTACAACTGGTTACAAATCGATTTAATTCTGCTCTCTATATTGACACAAGTCAGAATTTCACTGTTTAGTTCAAACAACAAAATGGTTAGAATTTTTTCAAGAGCTTTCTCTTGCTTTTCTGATGTGCTCACATTATGTGTATTATCCATTATGGCCTAACACCTAAAACATGCATTTTTTGTGTAAACAGTACTGTTTTATATTTGCCATCACCACCTTGTACTTTGCCACCTACTGAGTTCTGTTTCTTTTTTCATTAGAAGTCATGTAACCATTCTGTGGGTATTATCAGTTGCTATGAGAAGAAATGGGTGGTGAGATAGGGTCTCCTATTTATTCTGAGAAGTAGCAACCTTCTCTCATCCCAAAACACCTTTCTTTCTCTCTCTCTCTCTCTCTCTCTCTCTCTCTCTCCCCCCCGCCCCCTCTCATGCACATGCACTGAAACTGAAAAATCACTGAACTCAGAATTGGTAGGTACTTTAAAGTCTAAAACAGTCTAGGAATTAAAACATTTTTTATCTATGTTGTACAATCAGAACTAAATCTTCAAAATGATAAACAAGAAAGGTAACAATTCCACTTACCTAGTGCTAATAATTGATAAAGACTTAAGTGCATTTGTTAGCCAGGAATCTGTCAGACCTTCAATCTCTGCCCTTAACTGTAGCCAGGCATCCCTCTTGGCAGGGCCAAGGAGACCTGCAACACCAAAAAGCAAGGCAGAGTTGAGAGATGAATATTTTCTCAGAATACCTAGTTTAGATTCCCTTCTGTCTGGAGTAGATCATTTTTATTTCAGTATATATCAGAAATGCAGAGAGATACAGATTTATGTACATATTGATCCTTCATTTCTGAATTGATTACCCATTCATTCCTTCAATGAATATTTACTGAACTTCTAGGTCTCAGGTAGTGCCAATGAAAAGTGGCCCCAGTTTCTGCCCTCACTGATCCTAGAATCTGGTGCAGTGGATCTCACCTAAAGAGCTTTGAACATGCCTCTGCCTGGATCTCATTCCAAGGGACTGTGATATTTGAGGTCTGGAGGAATAGTTGGGTTCCACCAACCTAGGGACACAAACCCCAAATGTTTTGACTGTCTGAAAACCATTTAGCTTCTTAATAATCACAATCATTCCCACTTTCAAACAGTAACAATGGCATCATCATATGTAGCTGTTAAAATGTGTCTAATACTACTGCTAATGCTACTATACTTTGTACTGTAAGAAGAAATTAATTTTGTTTAAAATCATAAAGTGTAGGACAGTTATAGACAATAGTGAATTACAACATTGATGTTATAAGAAAAAAGATAGATGTGCTAATTTTTTATTTTAAAAGATCCAGTTATTGCTTTTATGATAAAACGAGATCATGTAAATCCATTAAAAAGTAAGGTTTCTTATTGAAGTTGTGTTTTAGAATGTCGGGAGCACATATACACTTGTATGGTTTTTTTTTCAATCAAAATTTATAGTTTCTAGCAAGCATCATTTGTCCTCATTATAATAAAGAGATGCTCATGTATGACAGAAGACTCGCAGTTGTTTAAAGTTTCTAAGATACAAGATTATTTCTTCGTGTTCTTGTTAAATTAAAATAATTTTATTAATACACCGCAAGAAGGAAATTATGACATCTGAATGATAAAAATTAACTCAGGTTTCTCAAGGGGATATTTATTTTAAAGCTAAATGTATTATCTACCATTGATTTTTAACTAGAAAATCTACTTATTTGATTTTACAAAAGCATCAAGTACAGAGCACTAGAGTGAGTCAGGAAATCAGGGTTTCTCCTCAGAACCCCATGCAAGTGAGTAGCTTGAAGGGTCAGTTTCTTATTTGGAAATGAATGTCTTCCATATCTAAGCTCCCTTTTGGGGAGCTTATTATCCTCTTTGGCTCTACATCTTTTGTCCTCTGGGAGTTACTATGTATCCACCGAGCATCTCTTACATGTTTCACTGCTAGGCACTGGGGATACAAGGTGACCAGACACACAGCCCCACCCTCATGATGTATATGGATAGATGTGATTATATACTATATATGAACATTTTACTACATTGTATTCTATGACATATATGTGAATATATGTATATATAGTGTGCACAAGTATATTTAGTTGTATCATTCTGTTTTGGATTCCAGTTTATGTTCCTCGGTCATTCTTCCTTTTTAGAAAAAAAGAGAAGCATATAAAGAAACAAAATCCTGGGAGATTAATCTGATGTGACCTAATAGCAAATTTTAGGAATCTTGTTTACCTAAAATTGATTATAATAAGATATCATCAAAGTTTATTTTATATATAAAAGCACATCCAGGATCACAGTTTTGATATCAAAGGTTTTGCTATCCCCTGTAAAATATGCGAAGGGGTATAAAATGGTTTTGATATTACCTATAGATTATCTGAACTTATGATAGTCATACTTGACACTATGCATGAGAAAGATACACTGTCATAAAACATTATTTTTTTAAAAGATAAAATAAACCTGTTGAAAGTCTTTGAAATGACATGAGTAACTGTTTACATTTATTTTTTATGGGATTCTGGAAAGATAATGCTTGCTAACAACCCTCCTTCAATGACTGAGGCTCTCTTCTTGAGAAAGGTCGTCTTCCCGCTGCCTCGGTCAGCTCCTCTGTCTGGTTTTCACTGATAATGCTCCAAGCACCAGCTGATAAAGGGTAAACTAAATGCCCTGCTATAAATCTTGACCCAACATCTGGGCACAAGGTTACACAAAGAATTCCCGATTCATGTGACAGTGGTGCATGTGTTATTTTGTAGTAAAACTTTTTCTCACCAATTCTAAGGAACTTCTGGCTCAACGTGGTTTAATATGAGCTTCTGTTTGTTTCTTTTACAGCAGAATCGTCTTTAACATGAAACTACAGTTTGAATTCTACCTATACCCCGAGTGCCTTTGTTAGATTTAAAAAGCCACACATACCTCCAACATTGTTCTTGTAGGTGTTATATAATTCTTTTACTCTTCTGTAACGAAAAGCCAACTTCCTCATCCAGTCAACCCCTCCTCTTACACCTGTTGGCAAACAAAGGTTTGCACTACTTGCAGCTGCATGGAAGCCATCAGTTGCAAAACTGTAGGTACTGTAACACCCAAAATACATTAAAAAGAAATAATTACATGTGCAAAACTCCACAGCCGAATTTCTGTAGGAAACAGCATACTGAAAGGCATAGCTTACCTTAAATCCTGCCCGTTATCATCAGAGGAAACATCATCTATATGAACTTGATCACATTCCTGTTAAAAACATTGGAAAAGTTATTTGTTTTCTAAATGATGCTTGTTATCATGTTTGAAGGTGTTCCCATCTTCTCATTTGATCAGACTACTGCCAGAAGATGGCAGCGTGTGCCCGTCCATCTCACTGCCTCGCTCTTGGTTTCTTCTATTGGGAAATGGCACCATTTCTACCCCAAAACATTTAAATCCAGAAGAGTTCCATAGAAAGGAGGGGAGAAATTACATGGCATGAGGGTTTGTTTAGAGCAATTTAAAAAAATTAGTCTTAAAATTATTGATAAGAAATTCTCTTGAATCTCTGTAATCATTTGAGTTCCCTTCCAGCCATTTCTGTTGTGCATACTTAAGCATGGCTAATCTGAAGATACACAAAACTTATTTGGTCTAACAGCTCAGATGGCTACTATTATTTGTCATTTGTTGAGTGGCAACAGGGGGTCTTGTCTTCAGATTATGGTGCCCTGTGGAATTTCCACGACTTCCTGCTGGACCAGAACCATGAAAGAACCATGTTGGTGTTATTTTAAAGTCCTGACCTTTTGACACAGAAAAAGGGTAATAATCATAGAAGCTGACATTTTCTTTTTGTCAAGTTTTTAAATTTTCAAATCAAAAAGACTACTTTTAAGTAAAAGGAAAATAATGAAGATTTATCATCTCAAATGTGCTACAAAATTCCAATCAAAATAAACTTTATGTAAGTATACCCACACAATTGACCTGATTTTAAGTTACAGTGTGCTCAGAACAAATGGGAACTTTTCTGGAAAAGGATTCAATCCTTCTTTGCTGTTCTGAGTCTCAGTCCATCTTCAAATAATCTGCAAAGTTCCAGAGCAGTATTATAAGCTCTAAAGGTGAAATTTGGTGAGCGCATTTAAAATGCTTAGTTCTCAGAATAATAAATATATAATCAATAAAAATGAATTATTTATAATAAATAACTGCAACCTCAGCGTATGGTTTAACATTTTGGGCCTCCTTAGTACCCCCTCAAAGTATTTTACTCATACACACAGATTCTGACTATGTACATGGTGCTTAGCATTCAAAATTATTATTTTTTTTAAATAATTAAATTTGAAAATACACCATACTAAACAAAGGTTTTTCAGCTACTATTTATATTCATTATTGGGCCTGAAAGTATCTGACAGTCAAATATTTCATATCTAGTCTCCAGATTTCCACACAGAATGCATTTAATCCGGTTCCAGTTGAAAGGTTGAGTTGACTCAGGCTTCCTTTAATATATAAAATTCAGTGACTAGCCCAATCAGTACCTTTTGAGTATGTAACTTGAAAATCTAGGTAAGTTAAAAGTTCATATAATTTACAGAAATTATAGGTTTAGTAAGTTTTGAATAAATCTCCACCTACACGTATGGGTCAAAAAATATAATCTGACTGGAAGTGCCCTGGAGTGCGGCATTTGGTTCACCAGGTTACATCCCCACTTACGGTACAATCTAGCATAGAATAATCACTCCACAATTCTTTCTTAATTAAATGGGAGAAGTCTAGACAAATGCTAATTCTTTACAGGATTACCACAATCATTTAAATTTTCTAACACAAAGTTATGATGATATAAAATAAAAGCATTCTAAATGGTGAGTAGAGTAGGAAGATATTTATGTGAAGAGTGGAAGGAAGGGAGAAAGAAGAGTACAGAGACTGCCGACGGAATGGCCTGGCCAGACGGCTATTTAGAAAAAGTCTTCCCCTCTTTGACCAAGTATTGGTTGAAAGGAGTGCAGTATAAACTGTAACCAAAGGAGGCATTATGCTTCCTGAAAAACATCCAGTAAAGGCATTGCAAGAAATGATGGTAACTGCTGGACTGGGCTTTAAGGAAAAGAGTGGAGAGATTTTACCCGTTAGCATAGGGGTTGGAAATAAAGTTTTTCTCCCAGAATATGGAGGCACCAAAGTAGTTCTAGACGATGAGATTATTTCTTATTTAGAGATGGTGACATACTTGGAAACTCCGTAGACTGAAATAAATCACTATTGAAATGGTGTCACATGAAGTTGCCCATTCCATTGAAGTTCTGAAATCTTTCCTCATGTAAATAACTTCTGTGTCTCTCTTTTATAATAAATTAGTGACATTCAAAAAAGTGGAGGAATCCTTGTAAATTTCCCTGGTAATCAGAAGTTATTTCTCTATCTAATACTCTCTCATTGTAATTTTTAGAGAAATTCCTCTCACATTAAGTATTAACTCGCATGATTAATTTGTACACAGGTTGCCCAAAAACTTATCTTTTACTCCTGAGGACAACAGTATATCACACTTATTGGACCAGAAGCTCCATGATTGAAGTTATATTTGAGATTTTTCCAAATTTAACTTTTCTTTAAATTTATGCCTAGTTAACTATGCCTGTTGACTCTGGACAGTTGCCTGAGGATTACAATCCAGTGAAAGAAACCTGAACTTCCATTATTTACATTTTTAGAAAAAGCTAAATAATTGTTCGTCAATTATTTTTCACTCTGACAAACTCTTTAAGAATCATTTTGACCAAAAAGTGAAATACTAAAAACACTATAATGTTTTGGCTTTAACAAATTTTAGTAGAACTCAAACATTTGAAAATATTCTAGAACTAACCTTAAATACTTTAATTTTGTTTTACAAGGTAACCGAAAAGTTGTCACTGATATTTATCAGTTATAATTCACAGCAGTCTTTTCTCACTTTTGCCATCTCAAACTTCCTGGAGACTTCTTTTCTGGAGGTTATTGTAACTGAAATAGCACTTTATTTAAATACACAGGTTTCTCTTGTTAGGGGAGGGTAGTGTGGGCATTTGCCTTCTCTGCAGTTGAGCAGGATGCAGTGAAGTGTCTATTAGGAGGATTTAAATTTGTATCTTTTAAGGAATTACGTGAGGAACAGCTACTACTATATATGTTGAAGTATCTACTGAAAGATTTGAGTGTCAAATTTAGATGTTTAGGTTTTACAAAAAAGCACCTCGAGAGCTTAAATATTCAATATCAACAATGACAACATAATAAGCTAATGGTAGAGTTACTCTCTTGAGGAATTCTTTTTGTCAACAAGAGTAGAAATCATTTAATTCCAGTTATGGAGCCCAAGCCACTTTTTGGCTGTAAGAGGTTTATTGAAATAAAAAATTGTGTGAAAGTAAAACTGCCTTTCAAAGTCAGATGCAGAAGGATAGGGGGCTATGTATGTAACTGTACTGAATGCTTTTGAAAGCTATTGTTTTGATTTTATTAGTTTTAGTGCTTGTTTACTCAAGTCAGTAAAAAACATTTGTGTTTCCTTGGGCACTTTATATGGATGTGCAAGCATTTGTGTGGCATGCATGTGTAGTGACAGTTCAGTCAATTTATATGCAGTAACTCAATTATTTTATTGATTAAGTATAGTATTGTTGAATAGCTAAGTTCTGTGGTTTGAGCCAAATAAAATTCTTATCACATTCTAAAACACAACTAAAAAGCTATATACTCAGAGAAGAGAAAGTCAATACCAGTATTTTCTCAGGAACTACTTCTAACAAAGATCCTGCCAGGTATTTCTGAAATACATATAACATAGTACCTGAACTAAAATAATGTCTTTAAGTGCCATACATGACTACAACATGTTTTTGATATACCAATATTCATTTCAAACTTGCTAAAGTTAGTTACAAATTCATTATATGCTATTTTCACCTTCTCACTTTAGCATTCTTTTAAAAGTTGGGTAGTAAATTTATTCTACCTGGCTTCTAACGTGCCAGTAAAAAAGCTAAAAGTTCATTTATTCTACTTATTTCCAGTAAAAAATAATTAACCAAATGAAATAAGCACTTTTAGTTGGATACTACTACATAAAATTTCTTTTTTCTTTTTACACTTTTGAAAAGACTAATAATATTAAGATCCTCTTTACAATGAAACTCATCCATACTGATCAACAGAAAAACTAACCCCAAAAGTTATCGCTGTATGTAAAAAATTCAAGTTCTGGAAAGGTTAAGGTGTTTGTTATTATCAGGTATATATAAAATCATTCTGTATTCATAAGTAGCAGGATCAATTTAAATCAGGTTTTAGAGAGGTGATTATTTGTTATCTAAAACTGAAAGCTTGCCTAGTAATATTGACCTTTCATACTGTCCATTGTAGAAAAAACAAGAATGCCTCTTTAATCAGACAGTAATTGTATTATTTAGTAAAAACACTGACTCGCTGTAGAGAAAAACAACAACAACAACAACAGCAAAATGTTGTTACACAGATTTCAGCACACACATTTATGGAATGTACTGAACCACTCATTTTTACTCTCATGTCTCAAATTTAACTCAAACTGGATTTAAGACCTTGTCATTGAAGAAACAAAACAAACATTTTCTAACTAGCGCGTTGGTGGGAGAGTAAATTAGTTCAACCGTTGTGGAAGACAATGTGGCGATTACTCAAGGATCTAGAATTAGGAATACCATTTGACCCAGCAATTCCATTACTGGGTATATACCCAAAGGATTACAAATCATTCTACTATAAAGACACACGCACATGTATGTTTACTGCAGCACTGTTCACAATAGAAAAGACTTGTAACCAACCCAAATGCCCATCAGTGATAGACTGGATAAAGAAAATGTGGCACATATGCACCATGGAATACTATGCAGCCAAAAAAAAGAATGAGTTCATGTCCTTTGCAGGGACATGGATGAAGCTGGAAATCATTCTCAGCAAACTAACTTAGGAACAGAAAACCAAACACTGCATGTTCTCACTAATAAGTGAGAGCTGAACAATGAGAACACATGGACACAGGGAGGGGAACACCACACACTGGGGCCTGTTGGGGGGTGGAGGGCTAGGAGAGGGATAACATCAGGAGAAATACCTAATGTAGATGATGGGTTGATGGGTGCAGCAGATGATGGGTTGATAGGTGCAGTAAATCACCATGGCATGCGTATACCTACATAACAAACCTGCACGTTCTGCACATGTACTCCAGAACTTAAAAGTATTTTTTAAAAAAGTTATTTAAGTAACTCAATAACTAGGCTTTTCTTTCTCACACACTTGAAACATTTTCAGCATAGGATGGGTCAGAAGTATGTGCTCTGGAACTAGGCAAATCTGCTTCAAATTCCAGTTCTACCACTTAGATAGCAGGTAACTTTAGATGTGATTTGTATGTTGTGGACCATAGAGTTTCTCCCTTGCATAAATAATGTGATAAACACATTTACTTCAATACACTGTTAAGTAATTAATGGAAAGTTCAACATAAAATATCTAGAACAAGGTAGGGGTTCAGTAGTAGTAATCTCCCTCTCAATTCATCATATGATTATAGACAAAAACTTTTATTTAATTATGAAACTATGAGATAAAAAATAAATTTAAACATGCCATCTGAAAAAAAATGAAAGAGAAATCTCTATTTCAGCACAGTTATGCTTGACTGAGAAGTCCTTCTGCCAAGAACCTGAACTACTTAGTTATTTCAAATTGTACTATCTGAACGTCTAATAACCTAGGACACAGATGGCATACCTTATTGCAGTACATGTTCAACTACTCTGAGGCTATTTTTCCTTGGGTCGTTTCATTTTGCTGTTGTTTTTATTTTCTTTTTCTCTTATTTGCCATTTAGACACTGTCTTGCCATTTGAGGTTGAAAATGGAAACATAATTTTTAAAATGAGAAAATAAATGCATTTAAATGCATCAAACATGCTTAAATAGTTCTAGCACTGTTTTATCCAGAAGGGAAAGAAATGAGGAATGATAATGTTAGCTAAAGTTAGGCTTCAGATTATCCACAAAATTAAATGATCTATGCTATCACCACGAATAGTGTCTGTGAATATTGTTTAGTGATTAACGTAAATAGGCTCCTGGTTAATAATCTAGAAGAGCTAATGCTGATTCCAAAGGTGCCAAGCCTCTTGCGGCTGAAACACTAAAAGAACCAAGAGTCACGTACAGCTGTGGACAGTAAGGACAGCAAAGCCAACAGTCTCCTCTTTGGAGACATTTTTGTTCTACATATATATAATTCACGAACACAAATTAACTTTCTGCTTATATTTGTAAATAAAACTTTTCCTCTTGACAAGAACTTTATGCTTCTCTTGAGCTAAATTTTTATCTTTCTGTTTTCTCGAGGTTATATGCAGATATAGAAACCATCTAAGAGGTCTGCTGTTGGACAAAACTATTTTACCTGGTACAATTCTTACCTCTAAATCATTAAAAAACAAATGAGTGTCAGCAAGATTAAAAATCATTTCTTCCATGCGGAGTCCAAGGGTTACAGCCATGGGGGGATCCTGTAAAGAAAATGTACACATAATGAGGTAAGATTTCAGTAAGCACTTATTATTAAAAATATTTTAAGGACATATTGCTGTGGTGGAAGAGGGAGGAGACTGCATGGGTTTTTACTGAAGATTCAAAAGATTTCTCAGTCATCCGGAAAGGTGACTTTCCAGAAGGTTCAGATATACCAAACGCACAGGCACACCTGGGAATTCACACATACGTAACGATGACACAGCATACATTTTCACACAAAGCTGTACGTTCAGGAGGGAAGGAGGAAGGGAGCCATTCAGTTCATATGACCCAGTTTACATATAATCTATGGAAGTATTCTGGAGAAAGGTATTTGGATGGGGTGCTGAAGAATGGAGTAAACTCGCTAAAAAGAAAGGGTGTCTTTTTAAGAATAATGACAAATAATGAGAATTAAAAGACAGAGAAAAATAGGTCAACTGGGTATTTATAAGACTTGAGCAGAGAATGTTATCTGGAGGTGAAACAGGAAGCGCTGGCAGAGGATGGTGCAACCATCACTTAATTTTTGATTGCATTTTTATCAACAAGATAAGAGGAATCTCCCTATCCAAACATGTGTAGAGTTTGGTCTAACCTGCATTTGACTAAGATTGAAGAAGTGAGGGGTGAGAATAGCTAAAAGAACATTAGTTCTCTAAGCGTAATCCAGGTACAAAATATATGCTTTGGGAAGTTAATGAAAGTGACGGGGTCAGTAAAGAGTTAAAATGACTCAACTTTTGTTTACAGAAACCAAGATATTAAACAGCAGCAAGGAGTTGAAAATCAAGACCAGAGTTGTTACTTTAGCATAATTAACTGCAGCTGAAGGCCTAGCATCAAGCGATATAAGACTAAAAAGTAATGAGCATTTGGGGATAGGGATTGGAATAGAGAAGTAATTCATGCTCAAACATTGTGTTTAAAATTCTCAAAGTTGGAATGATGGCTAAAGAAGAACTGCTCATAGATGCAACTCAGAAGATATGGGAAAGAAAAAACCTGGAAGGGACAAACCCTTAAAATCTGAGACCAGAGGGGTGTTAGCAGGGAGAAGAATAAGGTTTTGAATAAACCTGACAAGTCCAGAAGGATACTATTGGTTTTGGCTGGGAAGTTATTTTGGAAGACCTCAGAGGGTGATTTGGGTTGAGTGGCTGGGCCAGGAGCCAGACTGCAGGGATTTGAGAAGAGAGAGCCGAAATTGTGTTTTCAACATTCTAATAGTTGGCATTTCAAGAAATGTATCTCAACTTGGGGAAATGTAACACAAACTTCACTCAATTTATGATAAGAACATGCAACCCAGGTCAGGCCAAGCAGTATTCATCTACACCCTGAACTGATTCCATCTGCAAGGAGAAACCACTCTTCATGCCACATCTCCACTAAGATAACCCATTTTATTCCTATATTTCCTTTCATCATATTTTGAGGGGGAAGCCCTAAAGTGTAAACATATTTGAGATGTCATTCTGTGTTCTGTAGCCATTAAAACCTGGAGAATAGGAATTATATGCTAAGAAAAAGGCACTGAGTGCTAAGGGGTCATTGGGGTATGAGAGCTAAACTAAGACTCGATGTGAGTGAAGATAGAGATAAGAAAATAATACGTTGGATTTCAACATAATTTTCTAATTGTTTACATCTCCTCATTTAGAGATTTATGTGGATTGCACAGCCAGAGATTCTCATTTCTCAGTAATGGATGCTGACTCCACATATCTGATGGCATCCTGGTATTCTGTCATCTGGTAGCTTGACTGTGCTGCTGGATTCATCCGTCTTCCAGTGACAGAACCATTTGGGACTATATACCCAAAGATCAAATCAGTTCTGTTTTAGCCAACAAACATTCATTCAAAACAAGAATAAAATTATTAGTAAGTAGGCCAGGCACAGTGGCTCATGTCTATAATCCCAGCACTTTGGGAGGCTGAGGCAGGCAGACCATTTGAGGTCAGGAGTTCGAGACCAGCCTGGCCAACATGGTAAAACCCTGCTTCTACTAAAAATACAAAAATTAGCTGGACACAGGGGTGCGTGCCTGTAATCCCAGCTACTCGGGATGCTGAGGCACGAGAATCCCTTGAACCTGGGAGGCGGAGGTTGCAGTGAGCCAAGATCATGCCACTGTACTCCAGTTTGGGTGACAGAGTGAAACTGTATCTCAAAAGAAAAAAAAAATGTTAATAAGTGCCAGTTTGTGTCTCAAGGGGTTTCAGAGCTCAGAGGGCCCTTTGCTCTGTTTCCTTCAAGGATACAATTCTTTTCTCTTTCTTTTTTTTGTTGTTGTTGATCATGTTTTTGTTGAAATAAAATCTCTAAAGGTGGTATAAGTTTAAAAAACACATTTTGTCTTTTTTGGTTGAAAAATTCCTATTATTAATCTCTGTATTTTTGGCAGGGTTGGGGGGAACTAGGCATTAAATAGGCTGAGGACATTCTATGAAACTATTCTGCCTAGTCATGGAACCATGAACAAAGTCTACAGAAATATCAGGAAAAATCAAATGTAATTATAGCATGAAAACATATAATTCCATTAGTGACGCTCTGTGCTTTTGAGGAATGTTCACTGATGCAAGACAATAAAACTGAGCTCCACACTACTCTGTTATGTTTCTGATGATTACTGCCCTAAAGATATATATTTCAGATAGCAGTTCAGAAGTATCTGATTTAAAAGGTTTTCCTTCTGGAGACCAGGTTGGTTAGGCTCTTATCCTGTGATTTGCCAATTTTTCTTTTTAAGTTTTAAATACAATTATTGAATTTCTTCACTTCATTCTTCACATTCTTTGCATTTGCAGATCAGATTTATGGGGATGGGAGAAAACATACTGTTCCTTTTGATTGTTACTTTGATCAATTCCATGCTTCTGAAGTACGTAACTCTCTGTGCTACCCAAACAGTGATAGGAAAATCCATGAAGAATGCATTTTGTACATCTGATAAGCATGCAAACAAGTATAATTTAAAAAAAAGCAAAATGCAAGAATCTGCTAGCAAGCAAGCATGGCATGTGGTATGATAAAAACTGCAGTTGAGCACCCCACTGGAATGCAACCCCACGGCACTAGGAGGGCTGGTCATTTGTTTTTCAAGCTGTGGCGGTTCCACATCACACACTCTATGAGAGCCAGGACTTAGTAAGCATTTTGGCAAAATATCATTTGTAACTGGGAAAGTTTAGGTTTGTGGTTTGCTGGAGTGTGAACTAGCTGTATTTTACTAAGGTTTCCAGAGAGCAAGGCCTATTGAAAGAGAGATGTTTCGTCAGCCATGCCAAAGGCTTGGCACAGATGGGCCGGGGATAGTCATGCCATCAGCCAAGGAAAACCATGCCTGTAAGAGGTGATGATCTTGTTTCTAAGAGAATGTCTGGGGCGGGCTTACTTTCAAATATCTAATTTTACTTTTTGTTTTTTTCCAACTTACTAAGTCACCGGGACAGCTAATTCTAAGTGAGCAGATTACAGCGCTGCATTTTTCCAGCTAAAGGACTCACAGATCCAAGAATCCAAGAAAGATGACTGGACATTTGGTGGGTGTAGCCTTAGCAATGCTGGGCACCCTCCATCTTGCCAAACTGCTGTGAAGGAGCTGCCAGCACCTGCAATTGCACTGTTTTATCAGGCATTTGAGAATGAAACATACTTTTGGATTGAACTCAAGTTTTATACAGAGATGTTTGCTCATTTTCATTAGATGTTTGTAGAATTATGGGCACCTTATGAATCAAGAGTTGCTTTTTTTTTATTTGCATTTAAGTGTAGTGAGTGTTGAGTTTAGGGTCTAAAATGAGGTGATAGCAAAAACTTGGATAGAGGAAAAAAGTAGGATAATAAAGGCACTAACAGGGTTTTGTGGAAGTTCTGATATATATTATACATATTATAAAAGTTCCAAAAGGTTCAAAGTGTCTACAACGGAGTTTAATAGGAGGAAAATTGAACTACTGCCAATTTATTCTGTGTACTGCTGTATCAAAATACTGAAACTATTCCCCAGACATTTTACTGAAAAGAGAGAGAGAGAGACAGAGAAGAGGAAGATGAAGAAAATAAATAGCTCTTGGCCTTTAAATGTGTGGTTCTAAGCCAGATGTTACCAGTGTATAATGAAGGCAGGATCCAGTAGAGCACTTCTCTAAATCAAAATACTAACGCCTATTAGCCATGTGAACACAGAGCATAAATTGGAGCCAGACTGTCTGTCTATGGGCCTCTGCCCTGCATTGGGCCATCAGCTGGAATTCCTCCTCTAGGGACACACTGCAAAAATATGTCTGGAGAGGCAACAATTATGTATTTTTAAAGAAACTAAGGACTTTTTTTTTTCTTTTAAAGACATCAACCTCTTGAAACAGGTGTTTTTTTTTTTTTTTTTTTTTTTTTTTTTTTTGGGACTCGTAGCACATGTGTAGACATGGGCACACAGAAATAGAAGATATGCAAGTTCATCACGGAAGAAAGAAGGCAGACCAGCTCTCACGAACCTGGTGGAAAAAGTTACTGGATTTTTAAAAATACATATACTCTCTAAATCATAAGAAATAAAATGAAATTCAGTCACAAATCACAAGGGAAATTTTACAAATGTGATACTTGTCTATGATGGATAGGTAGTGGGCTTACAAGTTCTTAGGAGGAACTGGAGAATGGTTTCAGGAACATTCATTTACTCATCACATATTTATTGAGTGACTATTATGTATTAGAGACGTTCAAATTCCAAGCAGAGAGCAGATAACCAAAAAAGCAAAGCCCCTACACCTTTATGGGGTTTATATTATTACTGGATGAGCTACCCGATAAACAGACAAGAAAACAAGGGAATATCAGGTGGTGATAAAGCTACGAAAGAAATACCAGGATACGCAGATACAGAAGTGATGAGGATGACTGGAGAGGGCTAATTTAAAGCAAATTCAGAGAAGGCCCCTTTCAGGAGGCAATGGCAGAGACAGAAACAAAGGCCTGACAAAGG